GTTCTTGAACTAGGTACAGATTTTGCATAAGCACAGTTTAGTGTTCTAGAATACCCATTCTTCTCAATGGTATCCATAGTTTTTTCATGATCAATACAGTCGAAAGTCTTTGCATAAAGAGTAAAACACAAGTAAACATCTTTCTGGTATTCTCTGCTTTGAGTCAAGTTCTAACTGATATCAGTAATATCTTTCATTCTGGCAGTTCCCTGTTAATGTATTGTTGCAACTGTTTTAAAATTATCTTCAGCAAAATTTTACTTGCATGTGATATTATTCTATGATTTCAACATTCTGTGGAGTGACAGTTTCAAGTGCTACATCAGTCTGTGGAAAGATTTCAGTTTGTATTCCATCAATTCTTGGATCCTTATTTTTCGCTAATGTCTTCAGTACAGCTTGGACTTATTTCTTCAGTACCATCATTCTTTATCATACACTACCTCTTGAAATGACAGAACATCAACCATTTCATTTTGGCACAATGACTGTATTCCTTTCATTTTTTTCTTTCAATCAATATGCAGACTTATTTTATTTTTCAAAAGTACAATATCAGCTTTAATTAGAAGTATTCAAGTACAAAAAATGAGGAACTCTATATCCGTTACGTATATATGTATTCATGCAAACTGTTAAGAAAAGGCTAGAAAGCATTTACTTGTTCTGGGAATACTATGAAAGTACTTTGAATACAAATATCTCTTGAAATGTGAACTACCTGGATTTTTACACATAGTTACTATTCAGATGTTCAGAATCATTTTTTAAAAAACAAACAAGGTCTAGAATACAATGATTCAACTTCATTATTTTTTCCTTAGAAGACACGTGTTTTTAACAAGCATAAGATACATTCTAATGAAAACAATGTTTCAAAAGGCATTTATACAGAAAGAAATTTATATGCCTGTATGTTTTTACCTTTAGACATACTTTGTTTCAATAGATCACCCTCTATAAATCCTACTGAAGCCTGGAAGATTGTTGTGTTCTATCACTTGATATAAAGGTTTTGTTAGGGTACTTGACCAACTAGATAATCATATCAAAATCTAAGAATCTCTATAAAACTTTTCAAAAGTTAGACTGATTCAGACAGACTACATTTGAAAACATATTCCCTAAAAGTTAAGTATATATGAAAGGTTCATCTTGGAACATAAACACAACCAGGTAGTCCTAATATGCAGTTCGAGATTTTAAATCAGACTGACATTTTTCTTTGGTGTGGTGTACTGCTAAGTTACCATGAATTGGCAATAAGGAAAAACTATCTGGATTCATGTCAAACCAGCAGCGACAATTTTCTGACAACAGTGAGTACGTAAGTACTACCATCCACTCTGGCTTATGTACTGACCTGATATTTGAAAATATTTTTCCAGAATGGTAGTTGGCATGTCCACTGGCCAGGGTAGACAATTGATAAGTAAAACAGCAAAGAAAATCAAAGCATCCTTCTAACTTTTTTGATAAACTTTTACTTGGAATGATCTTCTGTGACACGCAGTTCTAGAATGACTCATATAAAATTGGGAGTTCTTCCCATCCTTGTCCTTATTGCTACAAGTCATAACAAAGAACTGGCTCTGATACATTTCAGAGGTAGCATTTTTTTTAGAAAGAGCAGTTATTTCTTCATCCAAAAGTCTTCTCTTTTCTTCAAGTTTCATTCTCTCTTCTTGGTCAACTTTTTTAAGATGTTCAAATTTAGCCTGGAGCTCCCTATCGGCTTCCTTCAAGAGGGCTTCCTTCTCCTTGACCCGCTGCACAAACATCTGCTTCATCTCATCTTCCCTCCTCTGGCGCTCCCCGCAGATCCCGTGCCTTTTGGCTTCGTAGGCGTCTTGAACACTGATGGGCTTGTTCTCTGGGCCCACGTCTTTGAAGCCCAGTTCTTCCTGTTTGCAGCATCTATATAACTCGTAGTGCCGCCTGTGGGTCTGCTCCCGCAGGTCTTCCACGTTGGTGTAAATGAGCATCTCCTGCAGCTTTATGAAGTTGCAGTCGTTCTCATTTTCCACTTGTACAACACCCCAAGGATACTGACGAGTTTTGACCATCTTATTTCCAACTTTTACCTCATCCATACTTCCTACAACAGCAAATGGTAAATGTGCATTCATTGAAGAATTGATTTTAGCAATTGTTTCATCATCCATTGGGAACTGG